GTCTTTTATCCGCATCCCCGAGTCATTGCAGTGCGCCCCCTCCCCCCGTCCTGCCGAATCGAGCTGAGTTTTAGCAATTGCCTTTGGAATTCTGTCGCTTCAAGAGTGCCTGAAAACTTTTGGTTTTACATACCTGTGAAATTTCAAGAGGGTTGTTTTGCCCGAGAAATTTCAGTAACATCATTGGCATGAGATACTTAAAGCGATTATCCGGGCGGTACTGCTATTTTATTTATCGCCGAAGTGTTGTGTTCTTTTTCATTTTGATGATGGCGGGGCAAAGCAGGGGGCAGTGATGATTTAGTCACATGACTGTTCAGTACTTGGTGGGTGGAAAGCTGTACTGATGATTCCCGCTCCTAGCCGGATGCAGAGTTTGGTCAATGTGTTTACAGCTAAGGGATGAACACAGAGAGGCTGCATCGTAAAATGTCTTCTTACACGTAACACTTAGTCTCGTCTCTTTATTCTAGTAATTCTTAATCTGAATGTAAATTTGGTCAGTGTGTTTACAGCTAAGGAATGAAACACAGGCAGACTGCATCGCATAAAATGTCTTGTTACACATGGCACTTAAGCCCAATCCCTCTGTTCTATTATTTCTTGCTGAATGTAAATTCGGTCAGTGTTTACAGCTAAGGGATGAAACACAGGCAGACTCAGGCAGACTGCATCGTAAAATGTCTTCTTACACATTACACTTAAGTCCAATCCTTCTCTGTTCTACTATTTCACGCCATCGATGCATCCGATCAGTTTTCCGGTGTTCGCTGAAGCTGTTTTATCGTTCATGACGCCGATGCTGCTGGATAATTGCTTGTTCATACCCTGTGATCCATAAATTTCAGGAATGAAACCGGCGTAATGAGTGTTGTTGCATCGAGTGACGGAGGTTACGATGCGCTGCTCGGCTCGTTCATCACATCGGTGAGGGCCGATCTGGACAGTCCCATCACGTCCACATTTGGCAGTCGAATCGCTGAATATCGTATTGAAGTATGTTTTTTTTTCTTTTTCTTTTCCCTCTCTTCAGATTCCCCGAACTTTTTTTCCAGGAAATCTAGAAAATAATAGATTAGAGGGATTGGATTTAAGTGTCATGTGTAAGAAGACATTTTACGCAATGCATTCCATCTGTGTTTCATCCCTTAGCTGTAAACGCACTGACCGAACTATGCTTGCGGATAGAAGCGGGAATCATCAGTGCAGCCTTCTAAATTATGCGTCTCATAAGCAGCTGAAACCAGTTTTGATTAACCACGGTATTATCAAAATTTTCATATTTCT